GGGTTAGGGTTAGGGTTAGTATTAAGCATAGGATGTGGTTATGGTTATGGTTAGGGTTAAGGTTAGAATTAAGCATAGGATATGGTTATGGTTATGGTTAGGGTTAAGGTTATGGTTAGGGTTGGGGTTTGGGTTAGGGTTAGCATTAAGCATAGGATAGGGTTAGTTGGGGTTTGGGGTTTGGGTTAGGGTTAGCATTAAGCATAGGATAGGGTTAGGGTTGGGGTTTGGGTTAGGGTTAGCATTAAGCATAGGATAGGGTTCGGGTTAGGGTTAGAATTAAGCATAGGATAGGGTTAGGGTTAGGGATAAGGACACTCCGGAATATCCCACCACAGCTTTCACTATTTTGCTCATGAACCTCCAGCCCCTCAGGTGTATGTGGGTGGCTGTGAGCAGAGTCTCAGGGAGCAGAAGGTTGCTTCCACCTGGGCCGGCGCAGCGGCGATGTGTCCGTGAGCTGAGCTCTGTGAGGCCTGCAGGCTGGCTCTCTGGTTAGGGCACTGTCCTGGGCAGCACTGGGTTTCCCACCTTTTGCCCAGAAGGAGCGGGAGCCAGGGCGGCTCAGGAAAGCTCCTCTCAGGGACCCCTCATCACCCCCCGCCCTCCCCCCCTTCCTCTCTCCTCTCCGCTAGCCCCGCGTTACCTCTGCACAGCACCTGTTCCCGTGGCCCCTCTGCTGCATGTTGGTTGCAAAGGCGGCTTTTCTAAAGTCCTCGGACATCCAGCCCTGCCCCCAACTGTGTGGCAGCTGCTCTGACCAGAGGTCCAGCCCCCAGGCCCGTGGTCCGCCGCCCCCTCCTCAGGGTCCCTGCACGCGCCCCCTCCCCCCACCCCAGACTCCCGTGGGAGCCAACATCTCAGGGAGAGGCCCGTTTTTTAAAATCTGTTTATTTTAAAACATTAAACCCAAGCTGAACAGAAACCACAGAGATTACATCGACGAGATTTTAGTATTTGCCAAGAAAAATAAAGCCCCAAAGGTATAAAAATCAAATCCCAAACCCATTTGAAAAACAAAACAAAGAGAAAAAAAAACGAACAGCGACAGCACCTCCCGCCAAGGCCCTGGGGAGGTCAGGGGTCAAAGGTCCTTGCCTGTGGCTCAGGCCTCAGTCGGGGGTCAGCTCGGATGTTACTCGGATGGGAGGGGCCGGGAGGGTTGGGGGCTCAGCATCACACTGAGGTGGGTCAGGACCACAGGGGCGCATGGCCATCGCGCTGAACAAAACCCAGGAGAGCGCCCTCCCCGCGGCTCCCTTCCCTGGGGCTGGCAGGGTCCTGGGTGGGGGTGGGGGGGTTGGTGCTCGGAGGGAATTGCATAGTGAGATGGGGTGGGGGTGGCCCAGAGGTCAGGGGCTTCCAATCAGGCCGCTGGGGGCCCAACCCGCCTCCTGCTCACCAGGCTGGAGGGCTGAGCCCTGTGGGGCTTTGCGGCCTCCCTGCCCCACAAGATGCAGTCAGGCCTGCGGGCCCCAGACCCACTGGTGCAGGGGTGGGTGTGGCGGTCAATGGCGGGGGGCATGGCTAGGAAGAGACCCCAAAACAGAAAAAACCCACGTGGGCCCTGCCCTGCTCCACGCACTGAGCTCAGGTTCGAACCCCTTTGGTTTTCCCTTTTACTCAAATTCGGTGAGTGGGGGATTCGGGGTCACAGGCCAGCGGCACACACCCACGTCCCACGCGGGGCGGCCTCCCAGGCG